GGTTAAACGTTAAAATTTTAAAATATTTTTAAATACATGAAGGCTATTTGTTGTGTTCCAAAGCAGATCAAGCTTTAAATTTCGACTTTTCATAATGAACATTGTTTGTACTTTTCGAAATCGTTTAGTTTCTGTGCACTTATTTGCACTTTTCTTCACTATTTGGGTTTTTTCAAAGTATATAAATATATGGCGGGACGATCATTCAAAAAATAATTCTGTTATTTTAATATATTTCGTGTATTAATATATCGATTTTATTGTCCTTAGGCTCATTTTATAGGCAACTAAATATGCTCCCAGACAGACATAACAAAATGCTAGAAATGAAAAAAATTTAAGATGGCCGACCTAATTGAAGAAAAAAAAACGAGCCTAAAAGTAACCCATTTTAAGCTTATTTTGCGTAATAGTTATAAATTATATATAAAATCTAATAACAAAAGTTAAATATCTAACCTATTTTCTTTATTTTAAGACCTCTCCGAGCACTATTGGTCCATTCAATCGTAAGATATAGACAATCAAAGTTGTCTGGTTTTTATGTTTTCATAGAAGCCTATAATAACACATTATTATGCTTTGCAACGCTGCTATTTTAGTTTTTGACCGATCTGGACTCAATGTTTTTATCGAGAAAGAAACTTCTTAATATCATGAGAAGTTCTGGAAAGAATGAAATTAATAGAATTTGCTCACAACACCGCTAGATACTTTGTTGAAAAGTACCCACGCTCAATATGCCTCCGACATTTCACAAATACTTTATGCATGGGCCTGAAATAATATCTTCTGCTTTGTTGCCTACAGACCAATTAACAGAGAAAACTAATGGGGACGTCTTTAATTAGTTTTTACTTAGTTTCGACCTTGTAATCACGAGCAAACAAAAATTATAAAACAAAGAACCTGCAGCACTTTCCTAAAGAAGCAGTAGATTTGTTTAAATCTGGACTCGTCCAGCTTCACAGCCATGGTATACTCGTATTCATGAATCTGATGATGACCGTGGAGACAATGAAGAAAATGTCTTATCACATTCTAAAGAGGATGAAATTTGATTACAATTATCATAGCTTTTCTAAATGAAATTAGTATAATATTACATTTTTATTATTTGTATCTTTAACGTGTGGAGAGTGGATTACCTCTCCATGGCACTTAGGCCTCATTAGACTCATGACATTTTTATTATATGTTACTATTACAAAAGAAAATACATAGAGGGCTTATAAAGTGTTTATTTGCTAAAAAAAAAAATAGAAAGATATTAAGAATAGTATACATTTTTATTATATTATATTCTTAATAACTTTCAATTTTTTTAGCAAACAAACACTTTATATGCCCTCTATGTATTTTCATTTGTAATACTAACACCTCTACAAAGCAATATTTAACTTACAAATTCATAAAGAAAGTCTGTGATTTAATGCCAACTTTGATGGCTTGTTGCCCCAGTGTGCGTCGGTTCTTGAGCTAAACGTTCGAATGCCAGTTTTATTTGACTAAATTATTCCGATTTCGATTTTATTTAATAGAAATAATAATTGACTTTAGATTTTCGTTAAAAATATTTTGATTTACCGATAAATTATTTAGTTTTGATTTTATAAACATTGGGAATTAGTTTTGGTTATTAGGAAGTAGAAATTTTGTTTCCATTTTATTAATTACTTAATTTTTATTGCGACCGTGGATTGTGTTTCTATTTCAGAGTAATAGTAAACCTAATTCCAAATTAAATTCCGTATACAGTTAATTACTTAATTTTCATTGCGACCGTGGATGTTGTTTCTTTTTTTTTAAGTAATAATAAATTTAAATTTAAATTAAATTCCGTATATAGTTAATTACTTAACTTTTACTACGACCGTAAATTTTGTTTCTATTTATTCACAATCTGGTTTAACTTTTTTTTATTATTTATGTTTCTTTATTTGGGAATAGAATTAGTTCGAAAGTTGGAAAGTTGAAATAGTATCATTTTTCATGTTGAGTGGACTGGTTTTGGCGAGAAAGCTCACATGGGATTAGATACTATCCCGGTTTTAGATTTTTTTTAGATTAACCCCTAGCCGTGATTAACATATTAGTGTTTTTCTTATGTTTGAGAGGGCTGGTTTTGGCGAGTACACTCATCATAGGATAAATACTGACCCGGTTTAATATTTTGTCTTATGTTTGAGCGGGCTGGTTTTGGCGAGTACACTCATCATAGGATTGAATACTAACCCGGTTTTTGATTATTTTTTTTAGTTACCTCCGCGCCGTGATTAAAATGATAGTATCATTTTTATGTTGAGCGGGCTGGTTTTGGCGAGTACACTCCTCATAGGATTGATACTATCCCGTTTTCTTACCACATTTACCTATTCCCTATTCAATAACACAAGGAGGTTTGTTTCATTTTCAATACCGACTAGATAGTTAACCAGATAACTTTTTCTACGACCGTGATTTTATTTCTACTTTTACGAAACAAAATATTTAACTTGAATCTTTTTGCCGATTTAACAGTTAACTAGCTAACTTTTGCTACGACCGCAATTATTTGCCGTTTTTCTTCTTTAACTAAAATAGTAATTTTGTTTTTGGTTTCGTTTTGGCTCAACCACCGAACCGACAATTTATTAATTAGTTACTATTGCCACCGAACATCTTTCTTTTAATTTTAATTATACCGTCTGATTGAGACTAATCAAAGCCGATCTGTTTGTTTTTCTTTCTTTTTGTTCAGGGTTTTAAAAATACGAGCGGGGGTGGGCGTTGAAATATTTATTTATTTTTTTTTATTGTAAATAGTTAAAATTCAATATATGTGTCAACGTTACCTTGACTGTTACTGAGGTTACTGATCCCTAATTTACTTCCCCCTTTATTTCAGCAGTGAGAAATTCTTTATCACCACAAGTTACGATTAAAGCCCGTTACTTGTGGTTACTTATTACCTGTGTCTGAGTGACCAACGACCCCTGGAATTTTTCATCTCCATCTGTGCTGCCCGAGTACTTTCGACGCCGTTTCGAAAGTTTGTGGAGTAAACCACACATAAAATCTGGCGCCCGAGAGCCGTACCGTTAACAGGCGTCATTTGTAAGTATTCGTTTTCTCTGAGGCGAGAAAACCCCTTACAGTCGGTAACAAAAATATATATATATATATATTATTTAATCACGACGAATCAATAGGTTACGTTTGTTAAAATTAATGCGAAGAAAATTTTGTCGTGAATGTTAACAGTTCTACTTTGAAAAATAACAATGCCCTTCCAAAATACTCTTTAATAAAAAAAAAATATAAGAAGAAATAATATGATTTAAAAAAATTATAATAATATTATGAGCTAAAACTATGTTACATTTGTTGTGTATCACTTTAGAAAATCAATAATGTTTTTTTTGTAATTTTTATTCGTTCTTCTCTAGTTAAGTTAATTTAAAAAAATTTAAATTTGGAATCCTATTTCAATTATGTTAAGAAAATACTAAAAGTTAATACGACTATGAAAAACTACGTATTTTACAAATAGCTTTTGACTAAGTTGAATTACCTTAAAGATAACGACATGTAAGTTAATTTTACCTATTTAAAGAATTCATAACTTGTAAGTTTTATCAAAAATTTACCTGTAGGTAAATGTAACATATTTAGGTCACCCTATTTTTGGAAATGCTACTTATTAGTAAATTTCAGCCATGTTAAGTGTAAATTTTTATTTAACGTGTGTTGACAAATCAATTTACTGGATACTGGAGTAATTTGTTTATTTTTCACGTTATACTGCACTTGAGATTTAAAACGTTTGACTTTACGAAAAAAATCGAAAGTACCTATTATTTATTATTTTTTGCATTTATTTATAGCTCTATATATACGGCAAGAGAAGTTTACCATTGCAACAGTTTTTTAAAATGGCCGAAATTCTTAAGAATAATGACGAAGACAATAATAAGTGAACAATCTAATTGTTAAAATAACCTAAATAATATCAATTTTACAAATAGGTTATGTATGGCAGGTTTTAAATTGGTGGTTTATAGTCGAAATTACTTTGTAGTAGATTTTTCAGGTAATTGCTACAATAAAGTTAATATTTATTTATTCAGGATGACTTTTAGGTCAACTAAATGAGTAATCGACTATAATGAGAATATATACCAATGCGGAAAGTTTTACACAAAAAAATACCCGCTTAACACGCTCAGTCGCTAATATGGAGATTCCTGTACAATTTTTCAAAAAATCACTTAGTCGAAGGTCATTCTTTGGCCCAAAATTTTTTAACATAATTCCGATACACCTCAGGCAAATAATCAAAACAAAAAAGTTAAAATTGAAATAAAAAAATATTTAATAACAAATAAAAAAAAAATTACGATCTAATGATAACATAGTATAATTAAAAAACATATCAAAAGCGCTTCGTCGTTTTTGTCTACTTTTCCTAAGGTACTGTCTATTTTTTATTTATTTTTTTTATTTATCTGTTTATTCTGTCGAATTTCTTCGTCTCTTGTTCTTATTTTTAAATATTGTATATTTTGTTAAGTGATTAATTATATGTAAAATTTAATACCTGTCTCTAAAAAAAATATGTACATAGAGTCATCTGATTGATCAGAAGCAAAACAGGCAGATATGCCTAGGTTCGGTGCTCAATCAGATGTCTTTAAAGAACTTTTTTTTACATAACTATTTTTTTACTATTAGGTAATGTATTTTAATATTTAAATGAATACATTTGATTTGAATCAAACAATTTACTCAAGTTAGAGAGGATCTAACTAAACAACTAATAAAAGCTTAAAAAAATACAAAAGTTTAATAGGAGATATAAATAAATCACGAACTCATTTGAAAAGACATATCAACCAATAACAGTTGATAGGTACCTATTATTTTTCTATGGGTACCTATGTATTGATATTGACTGGCAGTAGATTAATGACAAGACATGAAATAATTTCTTGTAAAATATATTACAAAATAACTTACATGGGTATATTACAAAAATGTTTAACAAATAAATATCTTTAATAAATTAAAATTATAACATAGGAATAATCTAAGGTAAGATCAGTAAACTTTCTAATATAATTTTCCAAAAGAAAGTAATCATTGCAAGAAAGAAGCAGTAAGTACTTTGTTTTGAACACATCTATATAAAACATCTTAAGTCATTAAATTTTTTTTTATAGATGAGAGCGAAGGGGTTATAACCAAAAGTTGTTAAACACCATAAATTAGTCAAAAGCTAGTGAAGTTGAAATAAAATAATTTTAAATGTAAGATTTACAGATGGACAGTTTAAATTCTTTTAAATAGTAACGGAGATAAGGAAATAAACGAAACGAAAGGAAAGGTTGTTTGGTTTAGAACAGCATTCCAAAGAAAAAAGATACATCTAAGAATAGTAAAGTATAACTAAAGATTATCAATAAGATTGCATAACATGAATGAACTTTAACTGAAAACATGCGAGACTAATACAATGAAAATGATATACCATGTTGGGTAAGACAAGAAGAAATAAATATGATGTTATGAAACAAAATGAACAAATAATAAAGATTATAAATTTAGAGAAAACAAAAATGTAGTCATAAAAAATTGTGAAGAGATGGAATCGAAACTAGAAAAGTATTAATAGATGAAGCAGAGAAAATAAATATGTTATGGGAAAGAAGTAATAAAATAATGGATAAATAGAGTGGATGAAGGTATAGAATTATGTAAAATATAGAAAAAACTTGACAGAATGTAAGAGTTTTATCATTTTTCAGTATAAGATTCTATTTATTGGCACATTACAGTTTTTTATTATAACCCCTTCAGTTAATAATGATAGTTGAATGTTTGCAACTTCCAACAAATAGTTTGGTAAGATGTACGTAAGAAATTGAATCGCTGAACCTAAATAAATCTTCCTTGTAATTTATTTTTATTGTACTGGTATACAAGATCTATTCTAAACCATTCTTATAAGCAAAATACAGAGTATTTGAAGTGACAGAGGAATGTGAAGAAGTAAAACTCAATCTTTGGTTTAGATAATACAACAAATGTGATATTATTGTAAGCTAGTAAGAACATTAAGTAGAAGATAAAGTGGAACAAGAATGGAGAGATTCTGAATGTATGAAAACTAAAGACAACCTTGATACAGAAAGTCAATAATTGGACTGGTAGAAACAAGGAATAATGAAGATTGATTTTAAAAGGACAATGGAAGAAGAGAAAGACAAAAATAAAAAAATCGATACAATCATAGAAAATAAAAGAGGCAGGTGAAGTAAAGTAAAAAATAAATTATTTATCTTAAGTTAGAAAGCAGCGGTGAAAACTAAAGATATTATACAATCACAGTCTTTCTTACATCAAAGGTTCTAGAATGAAGTAACTAAGGCATAAAGAATTATTACTGCATAGATTTTTTTAAGAAGCCACACTGTTACATGAGATGTTAAAAATAACACTGTATTCCAAAATTGTTTTTAGGATTATATATGTGAATACTATTCAATTAATTGTGAGCGATTCAATTTCTTATATCTTATAAATTAGCTAAATTAACTAATAATTATAACTGATTGTAACACTTATTCTTATTTAATATTACTATTTGTATTCACAGTCATAAGGGAAACTCATAAAAATATAACGTAAATATTCTTTCTATGTTTAGATGAAGTTATAAATAAGGAAACACCTCTTAACCTTATAAAGGAAGATTATACAAAAATTATGTCTATTTACCGCTCTGATGCATGATATGGGTAACTTGTTAATTCCTTCATGTCAGCAGAGATTTCATAGAAAATACTTCTGATGTAACATCATATTTTTGACCACAGGCATGCTACAGAAAGAGGAGCATTTATATAAATATACAACAAAAGCATTCACTCGAGTGGAATAAATTATACCAAGAAACAATAAGCAACATAAGGGAGAAGAAGAAGAAGAAGAAGAAGAGGAAGACTGGAGAGAGAAACAGTTTGTAAGGTCACAGTTTATAGCTAAAGAATCAGTTCGCTCACTCTGCGTCGGCACTTTTGATCTTAATGTTCCAGTTTATACACTGCTCAACTCGGATTTGTATCCCTGGCGCATACAGAATCAAATTATAACCAATACAATATATGACAACCGCCTACTATATTCAAACAGCAGTCTTCTGCGCATCCTAAATTTGTATCCCTGATTCTTTAGCAATAAACTGTGGTAAGGTTGTATGCATGGAAGTTCAGGTCACGCTCCGGTCACACTCCCCTCAGGCTCACGCGATGCAATATTGGTTACGTTCAGCAGAAAACATGATCGGAATCTGTTTCAAATCAATTTGCAACGGTTTTAAAGTCTGCTGAACAGTATTTTTTGCGTTTTGAGCAAGAAACTGTAGTGACATTTGTCATTTATTAAAATTAAAGTCAACTAATCTCCAAACTCCAAATTAATGATTTGATAATTTATCCATTTTATCTGTAGATCGTGTGTAATTTAAAAAGTAAAATATAAAAGGGTACTGTGTATAATAGCAGAAGCAATTATTGTAAAGAAATATTGAGTGACACAATAAAAGGCAATATTTTAATGGTCGCCTTTCACAATAATATTTTAAATATATTATTGTAAAATTGACGGAACCTTCATTCACTACCAGATGCTTTTCTTCAGCAGTCACCTGAACTTTGAAAGTTTGATTGAGATCTAGGTCAGATAACTCTAGAACTTCTATTAGTCCATTTAAAATTACTGTAAAAGGTTGAGAAACGCCGCTCTTGACGAGACCACTTGTCCCCTACGTATTTTGGGGCGCTGATTACGAAAATGAGGGATAAAACTGGCAGGAATGGTTGGAACACACCTAAAATTACAAAAAACACCCATAAATAAGGGTGTTTTTCGACTGTACTTGTTGTTTTGCAAACTAATTCATCTCATATGTTTTTTGGGGCGCCGATTACGAAAATCAGGGTTAAAACTTGCAGCAGTGAATGAACCACCCCTAAAATTGCAAAAACACCCCTGAATAGGGGTGGTTCAACCATTGATGCAAGTTTTAACCCCGTTTTTTGTAATCAGCGCCCCAAAAAACATATGAGATTAGTTAGTTTGCAAAACAACAAGTACAGTCGAAAAACACCCCTATGTAGGGGTGTTTTTTGCAATTTAAGGGGTGGTTCAACCATTGCTTCAAGTTTTAATCCCGATTTTCGTAATAAGCGCCCCAAAAACATATAAGATGACTTAGTTTGCAAAACAACAAGTACAGTCGAAAAACACCCCTATTTAGGGGTATTGTTTGCAATTTTAGGGGTGTTCCAACCATTGCTGCCAGTTTTAACCCTCATTTTTGTAATCAGCGCCCAAAAATACGTAGGGGACAAGTGGTCTCGTCAAGTGCGGCGTTTCTCGACCTTTTACCGGACTACATGTTTTAAATCGGCACTCTTGTCTTTAATCTATTTTTAAATTGCTCTTAACCTCAAAAACAGAATACGCAACATGTTTACTGGAAAGGTAGCATAAATTAAATGCGCTCCAAAAAATAGCGACTGATCCGACAACTGTTTCGTGCAACGTTGAGAAAAGTTGTCGTTCAGCAGAAAATAAGTAAACCGTTGCGTCTGCTGAACGTAGCCATTGTGACATGCTATTTAAATGTTCATATTTGGCGTTTCGCTAACAGTACGCTCATGATCTTTGACCACGGTCTTCCTCCTTGCGGATATTTTGAACGAAACGTGAGTGGACCTTTGCGTCAATGTGTATAAACAGACTAGCGACAACTTCTCTATTCTGTAGCGGTGCAATTGCCTCCCGAAATGTAGTATTTTGCTTAATCAAATTTACTGAAATTTTGTTAAAAATATATGTTTTGTCATACGAAAATATTGTATCGTCTACAAGGCCATTCTTCTTCGGTTTTTCATTTTCTCAAACTACTATTTCGCAAGTCGAGACAGAGACAGACTTCAAAACGCGCCGCGACAGCAAGGGAGACACTAAACGGTCTCTTAACGTCTGAACACATGTAATTAAATGAAACACATTTCGGTAGAAGCGACCGACGACATCAGATTTACTATGGCAACATTTGCCGCCTTACTTCTGTCTCGGTCTCGCGTCGCTTGTCGTGCGTTGCCAAATGGTACCTTTAAAATATCGTGAACACATAGGGGAGATCGGGGTAAGATGACGAACGGGGTAAGATGACGAACGGGGTAAGATGACGAACTTCTATATTTAAATAACAGAATTAATTTTTGAAGTGGTACTACTGGTGTCATCTAGGTACAAATGTTCCGCATTAAAATTGATGCGCAGTTATCCGGCTTGCTCATTACTGTAGCAGTGATACGCCAACAACGGTTTTTATAAAATGGCTTTAATGTTTTTTAAATTTTAATAACGATTTGTGCCTTTCTCAGGTAAGTAAACAAATAAAATGTATTACCAACAATTACCAATAGGTATTGCAGTAGTAAAATTGTTGTACGAGGGTCATTCAATAAGTAAAGAGACACATTATATAATTTTAAAACTATTCAATGAATGTGTACAATCTTTTCAGGGGTGTTAGTTGACAACCTTGGGATATGCTCTGATCAGCTGTTTCATCATTTTATGTCAACATAACCTCAACATTTTCAATTGACCATGGCAAGTCCACTAGAAGATTGCACCTTAAAAGAGCAGCGCTCAGTCATTAGATTTTTAGTCGCAGAAGGTGTAAAATAAAGTGAAATGTTTTCTAGCATGTTGATACAGTACGCTAAAAGTTGTATGAACCGTGCGAATTTTTACAAGTGAACGATGTGGACGTCCAGTGGAAGTTTCTGGTCCCTCGTTGGAATCGAGGATTGACGGACTTATTCGTGATAACAGAAGAATTACTGTTGAAATGATAGTGGAGGAAGTTCAAGTAAGTGTTGGAACTGTTTACGATGTCATTCAGAATAATTTAAAATACAGAAAAACGTGTGCCAGTCAGCTTACTGACGCTCATAAAGAATCAAGACTTTCCATTAGTCAAGACTAAAAGCAACGATGTCTGATTGAAGGAGACGCTTTTTTTGAAAGAATAGTGACCAGTTACGAGGTCTAGATCCATCACTACGACTCTGAGACCAAAAGGCAGAGTATGGAGTGCAAACACACTAGCTCTCCAGTTCGAAAAAAAATTCAAGGTTCAACCTTCCGCCGGTAAAGTGATGTTGACCATCTTTTGGGACAGGGTCCATTATATTGCGTTTTTTTGAAGATCAGTGAACTATCAATAGCCAATACTACTCTGAGATGCTAGAACACAAGGTTAGACCAGCTATCAGGAGCAAATGCCGTGGACTCTTGTCAAAAAGAGTCATTCTTCAGCACGATAACGCCCGCCCTCATACAGCCCAGCTGACCCGTGATAAGCTTCAAGAATTGGGTTGGGAGGTCTTACCTCATCCTGCCTACAATGCCGACCTCGCTCCATCTGATTTTTACCTGTTTGGACCACTCAAAGACGCCTTACGTGGAAAAAGATTTGCTAACAATGAGGAAGTTAAGGAAGCGGTGGAAAAGTGGCTTCGGGGTAAATCGAAAGAATTCTTCGCCAAGGGAATTAGGAAGCTGCAAGAAAGATGGGACAATTCCATAACTGTGTTGAAAAATAGCCTTAATTTTGAAATATTGAAATAAACCGGTTTTGAGCTATAGCCATTTGTCTCTTTACATGGCGAACTCGTCATCTTACCCCAAGCAAGCATACGACTTCATCATCTTACTCTATGTACACAAGCATTATAATAAGGCTAGTATTCTTTTACAGAATGCCGCGGATGTACAAGCGCAAAACCAATCGTGGAAGTGGAGTGAAAACTCCCTTGCAGTAGCTATGAGGGAAGTACGCGAAGGATCTTTAAGTTGTAACGCAGTTGCAATAACTTACGATATTCCTGAGCCTACGTTACAAAGAGATGCTCTAGGTGACGAGTTCCTAGAGAGCTGAATTCGTTTTAAAAAAACCTTTAATGATGAACAGATGAAAGAATTTGTTATCTACCTAACAGAATGTAACCAACGAGGCCTTGGATTAACTTCCTCGCAAGTTCGGAAACTCGCATATCAATATACTGAAGCGAATAATATAAAACACAGGTTCAACAAGGAAACAAGCAGCCGGGACTTGGTTCAAATCTTTTAGTGCATGTAAAAAGTTGAGTCTTAGAAATCCTGAAGCAACTTCAAGGATTTAATAAGATCGCTGTCAAAATTTTACAATTCTGGAAGAGGTAAGGACCAAATACAAGTTTAAAGCAGACCGCATCTACAACGCAGACGAATCTGGTCTTTCAACTGCGCCAACGAAGCTACCAAAAATCATCACTCCAACAGGACAACGACCAGTTGCTAAAATAGTGACAGCTGAGAGAGGTCAAAATACAACTTTGGTGTGTGCAATGAATGTTGTCGGGTCATATGTACCTCCATTTTTGATATTTTGCCGAGTGTTTAATTGGTTGTCCTACCGGTTCAGATGTTAGGGCACAACCTTCAGGCTGGATGACGACGGAAACTTTTCTTGCCTACTTAAAACACTTTGTGCACTATTAATGATCCCGTAATGTTACTAGTTGATAATCACAGTTCCCATATTTCCCTTTCTGGAACCAACTTCTGCCGAGAAAATGGAATTATGCTTGTAGGATTTCCTCCTCACACAACCCACCGATTACAACCATTAGACGTTTCGTTTTTCGGACCTTTTAAGGCATTTTATAATCAAATGTGTGATCCGTTTTTAATAAGTCATCCCGTAACTCCAATAACCTACAAAAATATAGAACCTTTGTTAGGGGAAGTTTACTGTAGGGCCAATGTAAATAATGCTGTAAACGGCTTCAGAGCTTGTAGCATTGAGCCTTTTAACCCTCTGGTTTTTGCTGACAGTGATTTCGTAACTTCAAAAACAACTGAACATGATGAACAACCTGTGAACGGTTCCCTTTTGATAAATGATGGTGATGATGACGATGCCAGGTCGTTAATAAAAACAAGAATTCGTCGACATCTGATGAACAGAATCAAGTACCTCTGAGGGTGTTGGCGAAAAAAATAAAATATTTTACTACACTTGAACAGATCACATCAAATGAAACATTTAAAACTTCAACCAAAAGTCAAATAGAGACACATAAACGTCAACTTTTTTCAGATAAAGATACTTCAAATAAGCACCTTCCTACTATTTGGAAAGTTAGGCCAATTGTAATATCTGGAAGGTCCTCAAACCCCGGAAAAATATTGTCATCTTTTGTTATAAGTGGAACTTCAAAGAAGTTACAACAAAGACAGATTGAAGAAAAAGAGAACAAAAAAAATTTTAACAAGAAAAGAAACAAATGAAAGTACAGAAGAAATCTACAGTTCAAGAAAATAGAGGACAAAAACATCGAAAAACATTGCCCAGTGCTGCTTATATTGCAGATCGCAGTTCCTCTGGTCCCAGTACTGCTGGTCTCAGCTCTGATCATCCCAGTGCTACTGATATTGCAGGTCCCAGTAGTGAACTTCAATATTTTTACCCTGCATGTAATGAAGAATATATCGACCCACTATCTGAAAATTGGTTGCAATGTTCTCATTGTATGTCATAGTGGCACGAAGCATGCAGCAGCTATGAGGGGTTTTGGCAGTTTCTGTTGTAATTTTTTTGCATACCTTAATAGGTTCGGCAACCTATCCCGGGTATGGGGTAAGTTGACAAACATTGCATTTTTACTTTTTTTGTTATTTGCAGAAAATTAATTTATATTTTTATAGTTTTGATAAGATTAACTTTACACAAAGTCATGAAAATGTTTGTACTGATATGTATTACTTTTCTTTGTATTTTCATTTTCTCTTAGTATCGTCATTTTACCCCGATCTCCTCTATCTTGCCACGTTTTTGTGTTGTTCTTCTTCATCATATAAACATATTGCAATTGCAGCTAAATAAATTATTAATAATATGTTCATGTGTCGATTTTTTTCATAAAATTGATTAAAAATATTAAAATGAGCGTCAGTTGAGTGTAATATGTGAATACTACCTCAAATCCGTGAGTAGTGTGACCTGAGCGCCAAGTGAGAATCTGCCTTAAAGGTACAAATTGGGAACGTGAGGCCGATGCAAGGCGACAACGACAGAAAGCAAGGCAGCAAACACTGCCGTTTCAAATGTGCTTCACTTAATTACATTCAGACGTAAGAGACACATTTCGGTCGCCTTACACGGTCGCTTGCCTCCGTCTCCAGTCTCGGTCTGGCGTTCCCAAATGGTACCTTTAAATTAAATCGCTGGTTTAGGCAAACGAATGAAATATAATAAATTGAACAAATTGACCTACAATTTATGTTAGTGTAAAAAGTTGACTTCAAGTCAGCGAATTAAGACAGGAATCACAATAAGTTCTTTTATTTGTTTGTTATTCAATAAATAACTTTTCCAGTCCAGACAAAAATATAAATGTATACCAAATCTAGATAAAATAATCATATTTTCAGAGTTTTAATGAGGGCTAATGGGAATTGCTTTGTCACTAGAGAGCTCTATTGAGACGAGAGTTCCATCAATGATACTTTAATACTGGCACCGATTAGATAACAATTGAAGGAGCTGTGACGAAAAACGCCAGCAAGCTAAATTTTGTATGACCTTTGTCACTATAATCATAAAATAAGGTGTACACAATTTTTCTCACATACCATATTTTAAATAAACTTGATTAAAACACTTTTGATAGCTTGTCAGATGGACATCACGTCTCAATATCGCCATTGAGCATTGAAATGTTACCCCTCATTGTAAAGAATTATAAAAAACTGGAACTTCAAAGCCCTTCAGGAACAGTCATCTACTTCTTTTCTTTTTCCTTTTCTTTAATTCCTGGGAAGAACGCTTCGATTGGTAAAATCGGATCCTCTGTAGAAATGGTAAAATAATTAGGCACTCTTCTGCTGATTGGAGCTACCGATTTAAATAACCCAGGGGTGTCGTATTCGGTTTTAAAAGAAGACGTCAAATCAGAAATTCGTTGAGAGTAATCATCGTCACTTATATCCATCGTTGTAAGGGGAGCTACATCTGTTGTGGTAAGCCTACTTGACTGGTAAACAGTAGTTACTTCTACATCTTTATCTAATTCCTGTTCGTTTTTTGATATTTCTTCTACTTCATCAATTTTCGTAGTAACATCTTCGGTTTGGTTATCTTTTTCCACCAATTTTGTCTTCATACTAAACGTTGGGCGTCTTCTGTTCGTATAAAACCCAGGTTTGATGGACACTTTGTTTTTCGGCGTAGGTTCTGTACTGGTTTTATATCTGTCGAAAGGTCTAAGTCGTGTATTGACAGCCTTCACATTAGTTTCTGAAATAATATTGTTAGCTTCTGTTGAGTGCCTTGGTTCTTTTGGTTTAAACCTTCGTCTTACGATCAGCTCAGTGGTTGTTTCTTCTTGTTGTGGTTGAGAGGCAGTTGTAGAATAAGTTGGTCTGGTTCTTAACCTTGATGGAAATCTATAAAAAGTAAATATATAAATAATATACTACAAGTTAAATCATCAAAATATATTTTACCTAAATCTGGATCCATCGGATGCATTCCTACCGACATCGGTAGTTGTTGAAGGTGTAGTTGATGACTGTTGAGTCAATCTCTGTCTGTAATCTTTTACGCTGAACCTTGGTCTGTTCGATTTGAACAATGTCGGTCTGGTTTTAATTCTGCTAGATCTAGATGTGGTAGTTTTAGCTTCTGTTGAAGTGGTCGTAGGAATTGTGGTGGCTAGAGTTGATTGGGTTGGTTCACCTTGATCACTTTCTGGCTTTGGAGAAAGAGTAGTGGGATCTAATTCGTTTTCGGGGCTAATGACCTAAAAATAAATTTTCATTTGTCTCACAACTCACATGTCGTCTGCAAAACTAAGGATTTATTACAAACAAAAATGTTTCTTGCATTCATTGATCTTAAAGAACATCTTTAACATCAATAGATATTGAAAGACCTGATAGAAAGTCTTTATGTTTTTAATGGCAGGAAGACCTGTTTGTAAGCTTTTTTAATCTAAAAGATCACAAGACGAGTTTTGAGAGCAACAAGATGCAAAACTTTTAAGGAGTCTAGATTAAATCGATATTATAAGAAGCTCAAAGGATATTTGTATTAGCATAACTACTTACTACTGTGGTTTCCTCAGGAGCACTAGTGGTAGCTAAATGATCTCTACTGCCAACCTGCAACTTAACCCTAATATCTTCTAGTTGATTATAAGCCGGCGTAGTTTCATAACTAACGTCGCTCATGTCTTCATCGCTTAAACTTAAGCTACCATCCTCGTATTCTATTATCCTTTGAGGTCTGGTGGCTACTTCTACATTTTGGAAATATTTAGATTCAAAATTGGAGTTGTCTGCTTGTTCGGAATTATCTTTTTCTGATAATTTGTGATTCGGTGGCATTTCTGTAGTGGTGGGTCTGGTTCGTTTACGATAGAGTATATTTCTATGTTCTGTGTTCTGATCCTTAGTTCTGTAATCGGCCTGATCTTTTCCTGAATTAAAAAATTTAATATAAAAAATACTTACATGCAGATTCCAATTAGAACTTACCTCGTTGCCTGTACCTATTCCTTCCTCTTACTTTTTTTTCTCCACTATTTTCTTCGTATTCGTTGGACGGTGTAGTGGTTCTATAACGAACTGGACTCTCTTGGTACTCTGAAGTTGTAGTGCTAGTGGTGCTAGAGTTAGGAAGTCTATACCTATTCGGTCGTTGGCGCTGGCGTTTTGGCGGTCTTTCTGTTTCGGGGCTTAATTCTTCTTGTGTCTTTTGCGATTCATACACTACAGTTTGTTGAGGTTCTTCAGTAGTAGTGGTTGTGGAGGTCGTTGGAGCAGTGGGTCTCCTACAAATTGTATAAATTATAATTGAACCAGCTAGTGAATTTGATTTGATCAATATAAGTGTTCAATGTAAAAAACTCCTTCATTTAACTTAATAATACAGGGATGGAAAGCTATTAAAGAAAAATAACACTAGGTAGCGAGTGCGTACAGAAATGTACCGTAATCTGGGGTGAGATCGGACAGGTAGTACGAGTTCGGACAATGGTGCGCGGCGTGGAAAATCACGTGACCACGAGCACGTTTTTCATTAGCGAAGTTTTTTGCATGTGTTTACATGTCCAATATTGTCTCATTTCACTTCGGTTAGGTAGAAATTGCCGCTAGAGAAAGTTTGTGGTAAGTACGGGATATTTTGATATGGGTCGTAATTTGCATATTTTTTATAACGTTAGAAACAAACATCTGGGGGAAGGGATCTGTAAGCAATTGAATCGTAATTTTTCATATAATGTAGGTTTATATGTTTTCTAATGATTCATGAATAATTATCATTTATTTTTTCATTCCCGAATTTTTTTTTCTTGTTATAGAAGAAATATAGCTTTTCGTGGGGCGAGTTCGGACACCATGCCCAGAAATTACAGGCGTCCCCTTGGCGTAAAACAAAGATCCAACTATGCCAAAGAGGCTTTAAATAAGGCTGTTGAAGATGTCAGGACTAAAAGGAAGACCCTGAGGGAGGCAGCAGAGTTCTACAACATACCAAAATCGACAATAAATGACAAAATGATAGGTAAGCACGCTAAAAAAAGTGGCGGGCAAACCAAATTAAGCCAAGAACAAGAGAGTGAACTGGCACAAGGAATTTTAACTTCCGCCGAATGGGGCTTTCCCTTAACTAGGCTGGATATTCGCCTAATCGTCAAATCATATTTGGACAGATCCGGAACAAAAATCACAGGATTTAAAGACAACATGCCCGGGGAAGATTGGTTTTATGGATTTATGTTTAGACATAAAATTTTATCGGAGCTCCTTGCACAAAATATCAAGAGGAGTAGAGCAGAAGTCGATAGGCAAAAAGTTCAAGAATATTTTGATAACCTTCAGGCTGTTATGGGACCTATTCCTCCAGAGAACATAATTAATTATGATGAATTCAATTTAACTGACGATCCTGGAAGATCAAAGGTCGTTGGTAAAAAAGGATCCAAACATATAAATAGAATTATTGATTCTTCTAAAAGCAGCACGTCAATTATGATGGCTGCTAGTGCTTCAGGTGTTTTGCTGCCTCCGTATGTCGTATACCGAGCTCTTCATATTTACCCAACTTGGATAGAAGGGGGCCCAGAAGGCACTGTATACAGTAGATCGAAAAGTGGGTGGTTTGAGACACCAATATTTGAAGACTGGTTTTTACAAGTGGTTTTGCCATATTTCCGCAAGTTAGAAGGGCGAAAGTTGTTAATTGGCGACAATCTTTCCAGTCACTTTTCATTGTCATTGTTTGTGATTAAGCAATGTGAAGAAAACGACATTCATTTCATTTTATTACCCCCATATGCCACCCACTTGCTGCAACCTCTGGATGTTGCGTTTTTTGGCCCCATGAAGAAACACTGGCGTGCAAACTTGACTGATTGGAAAATGAAAAATAAAGGTGTCCTGCCTAAATCAGAATTTCCTCGTCTTTTAAAGAAAACTTTAGAATCTTTGGGCCCGAATATCAACAAAAATATCAAATCTGGTTTTAGAGCTTGTGGAATTGTTCCATTAAACGCTGAAATAGTTTTACAAAAGTTGCCCGGAAAGACAGCAGAAAAGGATAATGCTAATGATCACTGGAGCCAAAGTTTTTCCGAATATTTAAAAGACTGTAGATGGGAGGAAAAAAGCGAAAAACCGATGAGGGGTAAAAAGTTGAATGTTGCCCTTGGAAAAGGTGTGAGAACAGAAGATCTTCCCCAAGAAGAAAATATCATTTTTGAGGAGAGTGATGTGGAAAACATTTGCGTAGAAGAGGAAGAAAACGTTTATGAAGACGAAAATGAAATGTCTGTATTTGAGCAACCTTCTACCAGCACTTATGAGAGAGAACCAGAAGTTGATCAAAATCTCATTGAAGTGGGAGATTTCGTTGTAGTTTCCGTTCCTTGTGAAGACCAAAAAAATTTCGAAATTTTGTTGGTCTTATAGATAAAATTGTTGATATAAAGGAAGAGCTTTTTTTTTAGTAAAATATCTTAGAATAAAAGGCGAAAAAAATAATTATTTTATATTTCCCGATATTTCTGATGAGGGACTTGCGTTTAAAAAAGATATTTTTAAAAAATTCTTCTAAAAGAAATAAGAAGTGGAAGGCACTTTTTTAAGCACCTTCCCGACAACATCAAAATAGAATAATGAGTTTATTGCAATGTTCTTTGTTAATAACATAGTTATTACGTGTTTTTTTAAATGTTTTTATGTTTTTTGGAAACTTATTTTAGTTTTATTGTTTATGTTCTTGGTTAATAACATAGTTATTACGTGTTTTTAAATGTTTTTATGTTTTTTTGGAAAAATATTTGAGTTTTATTACTTTAAATAAAATTGTTCGTACCGAAATTGTGTTTGGACCCCCTATCCCCCCTAAGAAATTTTTTTTATGAAATCTGTATATATGTATATTTAATTATATTTGTCCGAACACACTCTTACTATAAATTAAGTTTGGGTTTTCCTATAAATTAAAGGTGATCCGAACTTAGACCACCCATAGGGGTGAGTTCGGACACCTTTCAATAATAAAAAAAAATAGAATTTTTTGAAATATACAAAAAACAAATACTGTATTCGATAGAGGAAGGTTTAAGGTTCTTATATTAATTTTTTCAGATTTTTACAAAAATCTAGCCTCTTGCTATTAAGAAAAAACCTTTAAAATGTGTCCGATCTCACCCCAGATTACGGTATGACTTAAAAACTTTCAATGGGAAAATCCACTAAGTGAGGAACGCTGAAGGATATACGGGATAGATATAATTGACAGCGGTAAGCATGGCTTGGTCCAAATTTACGAAGTTTTACTTGCATTCAATTAAAACGAAATCTCTTCTTTAGAAACTAAAGTTTCTTCTGATATCTTCTCTTTAAAAGATTAAATTTCTTCCGACTTGGAAAACAAAATGTCTTTGTCTAATATTTCTTCCTTAGAAGAAAGGGTGTCTTCCGAAATGTCTTCTTTAAAAAACCAAATTTCTGCTGATGTGGAAAATAAGATGACTTCCGTTGAGAAGAAAATAAAATAAATGGAAAAGAAGATAGGAGAACTGGAACATACTGAACCGGTCAAGGACAGTGAAATAAAGTGCCATGAGGTGGAGTCGCAGTTGAAATTGGAAGGAGCTGTAAATTCTGCTCGTGTTAAAGCCCCAATCTTCGACATAAAGATGTCATGGACCAACTACCTTAAACAGTTCGAGACAGCTGCGAGGGCAAACGAATGGTCTGAGAGAGAAAAGGCAGTAAATCTGACAATATCCCTTCGAGGAGACGCTTTAGATGTCCTTCAGACTATACCCGTGAAAGAGACCGATGATTTTGAACAACTCAAAAAGAGACTGAACATGCGATATGGCCACGAACACTTGGAGCATTTATACCAGTTACAGTTAAAGAATCTAACTGGTTAAGAACTTTGATGCCTATTGTCGAATGATAACTATGCCTATTTTTGGCGTCTCCAACTTTTAAATAAAATTTATGATCTTCCTTTGTCTATTTCTTTCGAGCAGAGCGAAATAGAAAATTTGAAATGAGCAATTTTTAAGCGAACTTTTGTCAGGTTTATTTCTAAGCAAATTTAACATTAGAGTAAAGTGGCCATATTTTGAAAACTAGAAATCAGGACTAATCAAAAACATGGAAGGGGCGGGGTATAAACTAAAAACTGGTTTCTTTCTGTTTGCGAATTTGCAATATGTTTGTAACCCGACGTGCATCACCGACGTAGTGATAAAAAAGAACGTTGCCATTACAGACAGTCAGAGGAGGCGAATCGGCAATGGTCAAATTTAAAAGTTTTATACTTTTCGTAAAGTTCGCCAAATTGACTGTAGTTGGCAGGTCGTACGTTAGTGACGCTTATTTTCTATGTAAATCAATGTGAAATAGTCTTTTTTTTAATTGTTGAAAAGAATCTAGTTAGTGTGAAAAATAGTACTTGAGTATAAGTTTCATGAGTGACAAAATACATCAAACTAAGATTTACTTCGTTCCAGATTGTAAAATGGGATATAAACTAGATGTAAAACTAAATAAAACACAAGGAGAAATCAATTCAGTCTTTTTAAAGCTGCTAGTGTAAGTAAAATAATGTATTTATTTATAAATATAATCGTTAGCAATTAAGGAGACTCTCATGAATCAGCTGCCTGTCTGCTGTGATTAAATAGATGGATACCCTCTACCACTAGTAGGCTGGCGCGCACTGTTCTACCTCTGTCTAATCAATAGCATCGCTTATTCTATACCGTTGTTCTGGCGTCATTGTATGAAACTTAACATCAATTGACTTGCCACAAAATTGTTAAAATAAACGAACTTTTAGTTTTGTGGAACATAAAACAAGCAGAATATGACATATGACTTATAAGAAGTGACCGTAGCGCGTAGCAGAAGGTAGCAGATTTCTTCAACGACACCCTGGCAATACTGACCATAGAACACTGTTGCCACATAATATTTAATAAAAAATTGTATTTTTAGGCGGCTTAGATGAAATATTTATAGATTATTTTAAATCAGACAAAAGTGGGACAAAATCGGGACACATGTTAAATCGGGACTGGCCCGCCTAAATCAGGACGGATGGTCACTTTACATTAGAATATATGATATTTTAAGAATGGGATGTTAATATACTGCGACCTAAAAGATCTATTGTGCCCCCTTCTATCGCTAATGTAGCAAGGAAATATCTCAACGCCTATAACAGCCCTTCCAATTCTATCTTCTCAAGGAAGTGTAATATTTTGAGTGGCTTCAAGTTAGGTAAATCTCCATCTTCTATTTGATATGTTCCTAGGTATATTGCCCTTGAATTCTGGAGTGCTACACATAGTCAGAATGTGAATGAAGGTCTCGTCCTCCTCCTCACCTAATCTGCATTAACTATTTTCTACTACTCTCAGTTTACTAAGATGTCTTGTGTCCTTTGAGTTGGCAATGCCAGGTAAGGATCCATGTTACAATACGTAGCCTGTTCTTGCTCAGGCAGATGCAGGCTTCCGATCTTTTCTGGTTATATTCACCCAGAAGTATCTTAACCTGTCTTAGCCCCAAGAGATTATTTCAATTATCGGTTCTTCTACTGCCCAATTCTTTTTTAATATCTCCTAATATTGTTTTACTGCTGATACCGCAGAACGGGTCAGGTCCCACTGTAGTGGTAAACATTATTGTAGTTTGTTAACCTTTAGTTTTAAGATATATACTTTTACATGACTTGCTGTTACTAGGCAAATATCGGTATTGAACTGGATATGTCACTTCCTGTTATGCATAGTGATAACGATTAAGGAGTTAAATTATATTCTTTATAATTTGTATCACAAAATGATTAATATTGAATAGAGAGTTGAATGAAGTGTTGGCTTTTATTATTAAAGAAGCTAAATAACAATTAAGACATTACACCTCAAAGGGTGTTTGAGCCCTTTTCCTTGCGAGACTATCTGTAATCTCATTACCCTTTACCCCGTCATGTCCCGGGACCCAAGTGAGAGTAACTGTGTTTTCCTCGCCTAGCTCATTCAGTTTTTCTAGGCCAAACCATTTTTGAGCTGATTACGTAAGAGCTCAGCGCTTTGATGGCTGCTTGGCTTTAGGACATGATGATAATCTCTTATTTACAATAGTTTCTTGGGTATTTTTCCAAACTTTCACAGTGCCCATACATTCCTATTTCTGTTCCTTCTATGGTTTTGAAACCATCCGTATACCACTGAATAGCATGTCTTTTAGTTGCAGGCACAATGGATTCTTGGCTCCATTCTTACTTGCAGCCCAGTTCTGTGGATTTAAAGTTTTTCACAAAATTGTACTTCTTTTTCATTTCATTCAGGGGCATATCCCAAGTATCTTCGGTTCTGAATCTATTAGACTTTCGTCTGATTACTTCGTTCCTGATCATTCTATATCGTGTCCTCTTTGCCACATTCTCTATTATTAAATGTAGAGGAGCAAGGTTTAAGATCACCTCTATTGCGGCCATAGGATAGATTCTTATTGTACCGGTGATGCAAACACAAGCTAGTCATTAGAGTAAGGTATATTGCTATTAAAAGAGGAATATAAACGCTTAGGAGTGGTGTGATTTGAGTGTGAGCTGTCGGTTAATGAGACAAGGATGACCGAAAAATGTATTGCGACTGATCAGTTAAGGGGATCAGGGTCAGGGGAAAAAAGTAATTTGTAGTCGGTAGGAGTCCGACAATACTGATTTTCAATCGGTGGAAGGTTGTTTTTTTACTTAAAAAATATTTTTAATAACCATCTAACTGAATATAAGATAAATCTATGTTCAATTTTTGCAATAAAACATTGATAAACCGAATTTACCTTGGTTGTGGTCTCCTCCTTCGCTTTCTCGTTGTCAACTCCTCCATCTGCGTGGTAACCTCGTTGACAATCTCATTTTCTTTCGCCGGACTATCCGTTTGTGTTTCCTGTATGAACTCCGGCCTTCCCAATATCGGATAATGAGTAGACACCTCTTTTATATCAAAGAACAGAGGATTGTTTGCCAAAACAGAAGTCTTGAACTTGTTCATTTTCTGGCTTACTTGATTGAATACCGTAGAAGCTTCGCTTTGCGTGGGAGAGGTGGGATAAGCTGGATCGGGCTTGTAAGGAGTAGGCAGGAAGGGAGGGAGATTGAGTTCGACTATTGGTTCGTTTGTGATTTGCGGATTTTGTGCTGGAGGACCGATAGGTTGGCCTCTAAAATTTTGAGATTGATCCTGGAACTTGGCATAATTGAAGGTGTAGGGATTGGGGTTGTCTGCCCATTTTCCTTTAAGAAATGCAGAATTTTATTATAATTATAGTTTCTTAAATTAAATAAAAAAGACGTGGTTTAGTAATGATTAATTCCAGTAAGCTTATCAGCAGGGTTACTCTGTAATAAAGGATGTAGAGCTTTAAGGGAGTCTATGACCGTACATGAGGCGATTTAGAGATGTTGTGCTTGTAAATCTGCTTTACTGTTAGAATAAATATAGAAGTATCTCCTCAAAAGATTATTGTATGTTTGATTATGTGTTTAAGATAGTTCGTTATGGTGCCCGTGTAGTTCAAACTGGACTCTCTCTGGACAAACCATGATTTTACTCAGGGTTAATACTACAACAATGTAGTCACCTTAAGATGGATGAAAGACCCCGCCACATTGATTCACTAACCAAGAAGGCAGTAAACCAAATACTATTTGGACCTGGCCTTTCCATTGGGCTAACCCAATTAAAGAATATTCCCTTGTGAAATTCCACAAAAGTGGAATGAAATAGGAAACTGTAAAGTTGCTAATAAGATGCGACTATAATTGTCCGATCCTCTTATCTATTAGGAGATTAGCCACTGGCCGAAATATTTAGAAAACTTGTTACCTTCAGATATGTAATATTTATTCCTCTATCATTTAAATTTTAAAAATATGTAATTAACAACTTACCCTCGGTAACTTCGTATGTTTGCAATTTTGGAAACTGTACTGGACTGGGGATCCCATGGTATTCGTAATCAAAATACTCTCCCGCACTAGGTTTAAAGTTATTTTGCAATATATTATGGTACACTTTCAAGTTTTCCTTAGTCACCTGCACGTCAATAGCAGACTGAGGTTTAGGTTTAAACTGTTTCTGTAGCACATAATTTGGATCGAATCCCACTGGAATTTGCACCAAATTTTCCTGAATCTGCGGACTCTTTGCACCAAATTGTTCATGGTATTCCAACAGCGGTTCTGAGACCTTCGTCGACAAATTGTCCTTGAATTTCGTGGGGAGTTTTGAATTTGCGTTCTTCAGTTTTTCTTTTTCTGCTAAGTCTCTTATTGGAGGCGGTGGAACTAAGTTTCTACTGTATTCGTCTGGTTGTTTTTTGAGTTTCGGGATGATGTATGCTAATCCGGGACTTTTGTATTGTTCAAAAACGTTGTTGTTTAGTTGTGGAAATCGGTTTATTTCTAGATGTGCTGTGGGCTGGTTGACTGTGAAGTGACCATTCGATCCAAATAAACCTAAACCTTGCGTTTCTCTGGTTCTGATATTGCTAGGGCCTTGATGCTTGATGAATGGAAAGGTAACTACAAACAATATTAATATTTTAGTATGGTAAAAATTAGTACTATAGTGCGATTCATTGTTATAACGCAGTATTGGTCTTACGGCGCGTAGAGTTGCCGATAATGACAGGTCGAAAACTTCTTAATCTTAACTGGTTTATTGAAATAAGTCTCAAAATCTTAACTCATACTTTTTTACAATTGCTTCTTTTTTGTATTTTATTTTATTGCTCTCTAAATGCGGCCGCAATATTTACTTTTAAGTAATCTTCTTCGAATTATGATTGAATTTAATGCATAAAATATAACCCGAATAACTATAAAAATTTAAAATTTGATTTTTTAAATTTTTACAAATACTCAAAAAGTATTGATTATTGTATAAAATTTTATTCTTGGGCTGGTTCCAGACTAATGCAGTCCTGTCTTAAGCAAAAAGTGTTAAAAATTTTGGATATATTTGATTAACAAGATCACTAATAAAAAGAATAATTAATAATAGCCCATATTTTTAATTTAAACTTAAATAACAGTATCTACGTGAGATATCTCACGTTCGTTAATCGTCTCAGTATTACCGTTGTATGAAGATATTATAGTAGGATAATGCTACACTAAAAAGTGTTGGATGCAATCTCGGGCGACATCTAGTGACGATTTAATGAAGTAGTCAATTTTTAATGTTATGCAGATACGATATGTTTTCTTACCTATTAAAGTTAAAAACATATCTTTATTTATTTAAAAATAACAATTCATGATAAAAGACATAAAAAATTAAACATAATAATGAAAATATATTTCAATTGACAAAACCGTACAAATACAATTTATGAATGAAGGTGATAAAAGTGGTTAAGGACTTTGGGGTCAATATTTTGGTTATGTGCGGTTATGTCAATATATACGAGGTCTGTAAATTAAGTAATGAGACTGATTTTTTAAAATTTTTTATACAAAAAGAATTACAATTCAATATTGTCACCTTCAAAATAACTTCCTTCTGAGACCACACAGCGCTGGAGACGTTTCTTCCACTCCTCATAGCAGTGCTGGAACTCCAATACTGAAATAACCTTCAGCTGGTCGGTTACAGCCGTTTGAATTTTTTCGACTGTCCCAAAATGATTTCCCTTGAGGTGACTTTTCAACTTTGGGAAAAGAAAAAAGTCACAAGGACTCAAGTCAGGCGAATAAGGAGGCTGAGGAGCCACAGGAATGTTTTTACTGGTCAAAAACTCGTTTATTGAAATTGCTGTGGCAAGGAGCATTATCGTGATGCAACACCCACTTGTTCTTGATGTTTGGTCTCACACGAATGACCCTTTTTCGAAGTCTTTCAAAAACCTCTCGGTAAAAGTGTTGATTGACCATTTGACCTTGGGGTACAAACTCTTTGTGGACGATTCCGTGGATATCGAAAAAACAAATCAGCATGCATTTGATCTTTGACTTCGCCATCCTTGCCTTTTTTGGCCTTGGAGAGGTTGAAGTGTGCCACTCCATGCTCTGGCGCTTGGTTTCTGGGTCGTACTCAAACACCCAAGTCTCGTCACCAGTAATGACACGTTCCAGAAAATGGGGGTAATTTTCAATTGAATCCAAAAAGTCAAGGCACCTTTCCTTCCTGATGTTCTTCAGGTCTTGCGAAAGGTTTTTTGGAACCATTTTTGTGCAGATTTTTCTCATCCCCAATTCATTGATCAAAATTTGATGAACGGTGGTGTGAGTCAAATTTAACTCTTCCCCTATCATTCTGACTGTCAACCGACGATCTGAACGCACAAGATCCCGGATTCTGTCGACATTTTCATCGGTTCTTGAAGATGAAGGCCTTCCGCTTCGTGGTTCATCTTCAATCGACTCTCTTCCTTCTGAAAATGCCTTAAACCACTGAAAAACCTGGGCCCTTGACAAAACACTATCTCCGTAGGCCTGCTGAAGTTTTAGAAGAGTTTCCGTTGCACTGTGCCCAAGTCTGAAGCAAAACCTGATAGCACACCGTTGCTCAAAATTGATGTCATTCATTTTTAGAACACAATAGAAAAAACTGTTTCACAAAAACAATCGCTACGCACAACCAAATGACTCGAGCGAGGTCAAACTCGTACTGAAGATGGATCACATTAGACATGGGTAACGCAGCGCTGCGTTGCGTTATTGCGTTAACGCAGTTGTATGCGTTACGAGCGTTGATACACCAGCTGTTACTGTATCAGCGCAACGCAATTTTCGATACTGAGTCGAAAGGATCGCGAGTTGTTGGTGCGCCATGCGCCAGGCACTGATTCCGTTTTCCGTGACGAGTTGAGAATTTTAATTTACGTAATTGATGCAACTCGTAATGCAGATTACCCAAAATCTATCAAGTAATTATGTTCTTTGCAACATGTCACATCATTTGTAGGATTGTAGGTCGAATTTTATGGATTTTAACCTTGTACACTGGCAGTTTTGAGTTCTTCCCATTTTGATTGGCTACTATTATACAAAAGTTATATCTTTTTTATATAAATTGGAATTTTTATATTCTTTGTAAAATCCGAACACAATGAAATAAAAAAATGGGTGCATTACACTATTATATTTTCGTTTATTTTTAAACGTATAATAAAAAAAATTTAGTTAAATTCCCAATTGCGTTATTGCCTTGAACACGGTTTTACCCTTATAAAAATACAGCCCGCGCTGAATAACACCGGTATCATGCGATACACCGAGGTGCATCGACTTCATTCGGCGCAGGCAGTGGTGTGACGCAATAACGCAATTGCGTTAACGCAATGAGTTGGCGCAATAGAGTGCGCCGGAGTTAGTGTATCAACGCAAAGAATTTTAGTGCGTTACCCATGTCTAGATCACATGTTCCTCTGCCGCCCCACTAAGCTTCGCGCTTCCAGTGTTGCCAGATCAAACGCAACGTTGCCAGTCTCATTACTTAATTTACAGACCTCGTATAAACAATAACAATGTCCAATGTTTTAAATAAATTGAAAAGTAGAAGACAAAAAAGGAATAAACTTCTGAAAATGTTGCATGTAATCTAAGTACCTCTAATTGGACGCAATAAGCATATTTTACCAATTACTATGTCTGGACTAAGTGTTGGAAAAGTTTATAACCATAAAAATAGCTGAATATTTTTATAGTTTTCAAAATTCGAACAAGCTTTTCTACAAAATTTCATCAAAGCTATCAATAGTATGCAAGAAATTGAGTTAAGGAACAAGGAAATCACTAATCGGGGAAAAATCAATCCATAACACTGGAAAACAAATTAAAAAAAAAATAACAGTCACACGGATGTATTAGTGACTTCCAAATGTATCCTGGCTGTTGTCTATGAATATAAAAAAAACTAAAAACGTTCTTAAAACTATTTTCCCTAATTTGGACGAAGCTTCTGCTACTGATTCGAAGATGAACGCATTTTCTGCACTCGACGGATATATTACAGTGATGCCGATCCATATTATAAATCCCGATATGTCTTAATTTTTTTTGTAGGAATAAAAATAGTATTGGTACAAAAATATTTTAAAATAACGGAATTTAGAAATTGAAGGGGAGGCTTAACTTTAGCACTATAAGGGGTCTATTCTGTGACAATTCCTTTATATTTAACGGCCTTTAAAAATATTGGCGGCCTTTAAAAATATTTTCGTATTCGTTAATTTACTTCTGTCATTATTTAAACAGATTTCTTTAAGATAGTTCTCTAATGTATTTTAAAGATTCGTTTAAATAATGACAGAAGTAAAGGCCGTTAAATATAAAGGAATTGTTACAGAATACACCCCTATGTTAGGCCAATGTAAAGGACTGGTGTATTTTTTAATTACGACAAGCATTAGGTTTTACATGATAATATTAATAGGATATTTTGAAGATTCTCCAAAAACAATTACTATATTTTTTATATCTCATTATATTTTTAAAAAGGAGTGACTGCCGGGCGTATTGATTATACGATGCTTTTTGACATTAGTATAGGTACCACGAAAATAATATTTAAAAATAACATGATCTAACTCTGTACGAAATATACAGTATTCCAATTATTCATTATCTTTCTCTACTTTGCTAAGATTAACCGGTATAGACGAGCTGGTCGCTTACAACATGTAGAAGCAGAAGAAATTAGGAAGAGCCAGTGGCGTCGTGATGTGTGTTTATTATTTAAATATTGGTTAGTTTGTTTAAATTTTTTATATTTATAGAATTGTTTGGAAAAAATGACTAACCGATAATTTTTTGTACTTCCAATCAAAGATACAAGAAAATGAATATTTGGAAATAATAGTCAACTTCACACTAATCTGATACTTTTAAAATATTTAAATATTTATCATCACAAACAGTTTTCTTTTTGCTTGTCAAGAAAATGGGTTATTTTGCATAGTACATAGTTAGGGATATTTGAATTTTTTTCTCGTATATTGGGTGAAACAGTGTTTCGTTTATTTTGTTCAGGTTTAGGATGACTTTTTGAAATAGCGAATAAACCAGAATTATTACTAATTGTACCTTAGCACATTGTCCAAATGTATTTTTATATAACCAATCTTCGTTCTTTCTATATATACTTTCAAAAGCAATATCGTTGCTCTTAAAAACAGCCAGTAAACAGAACATAGTAAATTTAATAGAGTAAGTAAATTATAAATTTCCAGCTAACTACTTCTTTAAATTACTGAAACTGGTCAATTTTGATTTCTAAAATGACAATATTTTAAGATAATTATGTACCTCTTGCTTCAACCGCTTTGGAGTGACAGCAACCAATTCAATTTTTTAAATAAAATGAGGGATTTGATGAAATTTGAGATTGAATGATATAATTTTTCAGATTCTTATAAAACATGTTCAGCTATTTTTGGGGAGATTTGCTGGATTTACAGTTATGCTTCTTCATAAAGAAAAATGTCAAAATTTTAAAAAACTTCTATTACTGGAACGAGTAATAACCCCTTTAAAATGAGGTATGACATGATCACTCATTTCATTTAAAAATGAAAAGGCGGTAGTTGTCAGTTCAAGGGGTTTGAAGAAGTAGGTACTTAAGCAATTAATTGAAATACTGTCGCATTCAAAAATAAAAATTTACGTTAGAGGATTTTCTTTAAAAATTAACTATTAATGAGACAGAAAATTAATGTATCCCTTTGTCCTCAATGTATATTGATAGGCAACAGAAATAAGTACATTCATTTTAACCGTCCAAAATAGTTATTTGTGTAGTAAGGCCGTAAAGTTGATCTTTTTTGGCCGAATTATAAATTTGCAACTTCTGGTTAGGATATAAATTATCATACGGCCAAGGTGCACACAAAATTTTTTAGGCGACTCTCACATCAAGTAGAGCCAATATTTTTTTACATTCTTGTTTTTAATGAGAGGCTTAAATGCAAGAATTGTTTCAAGTTTTTATTGAATGAATAAAAATCCATCGTTAACTAATAAAATTTGCACAGAAGAATTACTAACGATAAGTAGGTATAAGTATTTTTCGGATTTATATTTGCGATTCCTCGATAATAAATTCACAATTTTTAAAAAGTTAGTTAATTTAAACAAAAATCCAGTACCTAATTAATCATACCTAATGTTAAGATTAAATTCCCTGTGTATTTGAAACCCACGTTATTTCGTCTTCTGTTTGCAGTTTAGACATATCAAAACTTTACTCCGAATGGTGCACGTGTTGAATGATCAAAAATGGTTGGTAACGATTCGACTTGCTTGTTTTTAGACCTATCGACGAGTGCCTGAACTAAAATGTTGGTAAAACAGGGTTTGGCGCGTATATTAATTGAAATTTCAGCTTGTCTTTTATTTCTCAATTTTCTCCGTTATTACATTGATTTGAAAATTGGTTTCAAGGTAATTGTATTTGATTATTAATAGAGTATTTGCTTGACCCCTTGAAAAAATCATATTACATTTTTTTATAATTGTTTAAACTTTTATTTTTATTATTATCATCAAAGTTACAGTATTTATATTAGTCAGCAACTGCTCTGATTTATTTCAAAAACGTCTGCAAAATCTTAGCTCTTTAATTTGTTCAGTTTCAAATTTATTAGAAAATAAAATTAAACGCAATTAAACTCTCACCTTAAACTTAAATAACAGTATCTACGTGAGATCTCACGTTCGTTAATCGTCTCAGTATTACTATCTCGAAATATAACCATCTTGTCTAATTTATTGATTGATCGTATAACTTAAAAGTTTAAAATTACTATGAAATACTCAGAACGAAGGCAAATAAGGAGTAATTAGTTCTGATTTTTATACATGTATACAGTTTTTTTTTCTTCAAATATTAAATTCAAACATAATATCTTTTAATTTACCAAACCCACCATTCTTTACATCCGCTACATGTTGTTTTATTTAACTTCTGTTAAAATTTCCCACTTCTTAAACCAGTGGTCGCCAACCTGTCGATCGCGAGCTACCGGTAGCTCGCGGAGGCAATTCTGGTAGCTCTCACAACGATTTTAATTTAAAAAATACAAACTGCAAAAATCAGAGTAGCTTCCGAAAATTCCACAAAAAAATCTAATTGTCATAATATTAAACATAAACAGCGGCAACGTTGCGGTGAGCGATTTGCCGTTAACGCCATCAAGCTAGAATCGGCTAGAACCGACCAGCCGGACCAGAGCGTTAGTGTTCCAGAACGATCAGGATTGCTTTGAACGGGATAAATACGCACGGCGCGGCGACATTGCGCTTAGTTTAAAACTGAACGCGTAACTAACGTCCAGCGGTTGGATTAGTAGAGAACAACAAAAAATAATATTATGGCAAGCAGTTGTAAGAAAGTAAAGACATACCACTTTCATTCGGAATGGGAAGAACAATACTTTTTTACAGAAGTTAAAGATAAAAATGTGTGTTTGTTATGTAATACTTCGGTCTCCGTTGCTAAAAAAGGAAATATTGAGAGACATCATAAAACTGTACATTCTAATTTTAAAAAATCATTCCCACTACATTCTGCCGCCAGAAAGGAGAAACTGAAACAGTTAAAAAAGCAGTTAATTGGACAACAATCAATATTTTTAAGAACAGTCGACAAAAATAAGGCTGCAACTGAACCATCGTACCCATCGTGTGTCCCAGATAATTGCACAAAAAAATAAACCTTATGAAGACGGGGAAATGATAAAACAGGCGTTTTTAGAAGCTGCTAATTCGTTATTTGCCAACTTTATAAATAAAGACGAGGTAGTTTCAGCTATAAAATCTATGCAACTTTCTGCTAATACAGTGATGAGACGTCTAGAAGTAATGAGCAATGATATTTTTTTACAGTTAAGAACTGACTTAGATAACTGTGTTTATTTTTCACTTCAACTGGATGAATCAACAGATGTCGTTGACACTGCCCAGATGGCCGTGTTCGTCAGGATGGTTTTTAGTGATTTTACGATTAAAGAAGATCTTTTGAAGTTTATTCCACTGAAAGGACACACTACTGGACAGAAGTAGTTTTCTCATTTAAAAAATATTATTTCTTCCGAGAAAATTCCAATATCGAAAATGGTAGGCTTGACAACCGATGGTGGGTTGTGATAAGGGTCTGGTGGTGTTATGTCGTAAAGATGAAACTATTCCGCAATTTCTCTGTTACCACGGCATTATCCATCAGCAAGCATTATGTGGAAATTTCCTGAAACTAAACAACGTTATGAAACTGGTGGTAAAAATTGTGAACAAGATTAGAGCTCAAGCGTTACAAAGAAGATTATTGAAAACCTTGGCCGATGAAGTTGACTGTCAATACGGGGACCTACTCCTTCACTCTAAAGTCCGATGGTTAAGTAGAGGACGGGTGCTGAAACGTTTTAATGATGTCCTATCTGGCATAGTTCAATTTTTCAAACAACGCGATGAACCGACTCCGGAACTAGAAAATTCAATCTGGCTTAGAGATTTTGGTTTTCTCGTGGACATTGCAGAGAAATTAAACGAACTTAATTTGCAGCTTCAGAGGAGAGACAAAGAACTAGCGGAAATTATTTCTGATATAAAATCATTTATCAAAAAGCTGGAGTTTTGGGAACAAAACCTAATTAACAGCGATGCCAAGCATTTTCCTATTCTTTCAGAAAAAATATCTTAAAATCGATTAGAACCCATGTAGAAATAGTTTCTACCCTGAAGAATAACTTCAAAAATCGTTTTAAGGATTTTAACGAAATGGCTTTAGTAGCGCAGTTTGTTGTTTCACCCTTTATAGAAATTGATATCCAACAGTTTGCAACTTGTGTTATGCAGAACATCGCTGTAACAGAAATGGAAGTAATTGAGTTTCAAAATGATTTAGCCTTAAAATCGTTAGTCTCAAGTACCAAATGTATCTGGCCTATTGTAAGTAAAGACAAATATTCAGTTCTATGCCGTGTTGCCTTGAAAGTGAAAGCATTATTTAGTTCAACCTATTTGTGTGAATCTTCTTTTTCCAATATGAAGTTTATTAAGAACAAATATCGCAATCGACTTACAGATGAACATTTGGATAATTGTATTCGAATGGCTGTATCAAATTATACTGCAAATATTAAAAAAATTATCGATGAGTCTGAGTGTCAGCCGTCTCATTAAACGTGCTTTTTTATTTTTCAATGTTTATGTTCATGATAGTGCGTTACTTTTTTGTTGTTATTATTAACTATTTTTAAATCTTACGTGACATGCCGTTGTGGCTGGATAAAATTTTGTGTTTATTTTTCAAACACCTTCGTTTGGTAGGTAGGAATGTAGCTATGAACAAGTACGTACTAGTAATATTAGTTATTTTGTTATTAGTTTATTATTAGTACCTATGTATTACCAGTTAAATAGTAAAATAAATACATATAATGATAAATTAACTGTGAATTATTTCATTTACGTTGCGTTACGTGGCTTCCGTGTGGGTAGCTCGCTGTTTATTCCAAAATTAACAAAGTAGCTCAACACATTGAGAGGTTGGCGACCACTGTCTTAAACAATATTTAATTATTTACCAAAATCAGAATCACTCTTTTAATAAATTATGCGCACGAATGTTTTTTTCAAATTTGAACTAATAAAAACAATTCTTACTAGCTCCAGAAGGAAGGACATAAACTTCATTTCTGGTACTCTGCGCTCCCAATTGTCCTCTAAATGGTTTCCTTTTCTGAACTGGTCCTAGATGTCCCATTGGTTTGAGGGGTTTTAAAGGATGTTTTCTGAGACCGAATTCTGATGGTCTTCCAAGAGTAACTGCACTTGGAGGCAACGTTTGGTATTTGGGAGAAGAAAATTTGCTGTGAGGAGGATCTTTGTTGCCTGAAAGGAGTGTAAAAAATATAAAATTATTGTAACGACAGGTGAACCAGCGGTTTTGTTAATACACTCGCGACATGATTAAATTGCATATATGAAAATAGTGAAGAAATTTTAGTCAAAACCGTGGATTTAAATAGTATTTTGTTATTTAGATAATTTCCATTTTCAAAAAATTAAACAATTATCCTTTTAAGTAGTCCGTATTTGTAAATACCAATAAAGTAAATTCAAAAGAATAAGGTGAGTGGGCCACATACTGGGGCTAGATCGAGAGAGACTACCAAAGTGTGTAATTAGAGAGATTTGATTGGTGAAAACAGAAAGGGACGATCTAGGAAAAGATGGGTTAAAGTAGTAGAAGGAAAACCAAGAAACAGGAAGGAATAGAAATAGATTGTTGTCCAAGGCCTACGACCGTTGACCCAAGGATAGTTAGTAAATAATTGTTAAAATTATACCTGGTTAAATTATACCTGTTAGGGTGATTGCTCGTTTACCTGTCTTTTGCGCCGGCCCTGCATTTAAATTATTGTACGGCTTCGTGGACTGTTCAATTTCTTGTTTTTCTGGTACGAAAGTAGACGTTATTGTAATGGGATTTTCAGATTTGACTATTTCTACTTCTACTACTCTTTGACTAGATGGAGGTTGATGATTGGATACAAAACCAGGAGCTGGTCGCCTACTGCCTACGATGGGCCTCCATCCATCGGAAGTCATTGTAATTGGATCCTTTAAAATTTAAAATATGTATGGAGTAAGAGTGTAATCTCCTTTTAAAATATTTCCATCTCAGAAACTAAAATTGAACTTTTAATACTTGTATCATAAATAAATATTAGGCGACTGTTATTTTAGACAGAACAACTTTGAAAAAGAATGCAAACAACTTTGGTAAGATATATAAATAATATAAAAATATAAATAACAGATGTAACTAATTTTAGACCACATTATTTTTAATTTATTCCCGCCATTTTGAAAGCAGATTTTTAACATTATATTGCTACGTTTGAATATCCACATCCGATGCATTTTTTACATCTCGAACGTTTGTTTAAATCATGGAGGTATAATACTAATGGAGATGCCATGAGGCAATTGTTTTGCATATGATACGTTTTATTAAAAATGACCCCACTGGGCGTGGCTTAAATGGTTGACTAAGCAGGGTCGTATTCAAATATAATTAAAGTCCGTATGCAGAATTACAACTTTTAAATGACTTACTTACCTAAGATTTGTTTCAACATGATCAATTCGAAATTAATTTGATGACATTGCGCAATTATGACTTTTACACTATTTACTATTATTTATTAACCGTTTTCCGACCAAGCCAATGCCAAGACCATAAAAGAGATTAATATTATTATATTGTTCTGTCTTCGCCGAAACCGTCCGATATATGACCTGTGTGATCGAAAATCAACGTTCGAATAACACTGTGCATCAGATTTTTTAATCTCTTTGTGTTTTAAAACTAAAACCCGAACTACAATTTTTCGTTCAAGGACTCTCTTGTCTTGATCTAAGTTGCCAATGTCAAAATCTGGCAATGAGGAGAATTATGACATCAAATTACCAAACCAAAAACCAAACCACTACGTGAATTGTGAATAAATATATTTCAGTAAAAATACAGCCGAGTTTGTAGAAAGGACAATTAATTACTTTTAAATGTAAAACATGTAGGTCTGTCTGCTGCAGATGACATACATTAAAAATATGACCCGCTACAGTCAAAAGTTTAAAAAGACCAAAAATTCAGCTAAGTATGACTTTATGGTTAAAATTAGATAGAAGAAAAGCATGATCAAAACTACTCTGTCGAAACCAATCGGAACTAAAAAGACTTAGATAATAGTTGTTGGTTTTATTTATGTTTGAAATAATTAATTATATAGGGTATTTACATATATTACTAAAATTGCAAGAAAGTACTTACTAAAGATTTCTATAATTGGTACCTATATAATAAACAACAATCTCACAGATGCACAGCATACAATTATACAAATGCAATTATAGAGATAATTTATTTTAAAAATAGGCATTCAGTTGCGATTTGTGATTACAAAAAGAAAACTTTAACCACTTTTTCTGATCAGTAATGTTAGTGTTATAGTAAATAAGTTTCTAGAAACTGGTGCTTTTAATCCTAATAAAGCATTGTGAATTTCCAAGAAAAGTGCATGATGAAAATTGTTTTGACCAAAATTTTGAATGTCATGCCATTTAAAAAGAAACCCTGTGACTGTGGATAACATTTGACAGAAAATCTTATCCTAAAAATAACTGTTTGGTTGCATTGGAGGAATAATTTCTCTATTGGTACTTTTTTAGGGTGCAAGGATGACTTGACATTACTAAATTTGAACCTTTGTTATAAGTTGTCTTTTTGCTTTAATTTCTGATACACCTGTATTGTACATACTTGAAAAATATAAAATTGTTCAAGTGGGAAGTTTATATACAAGGTGTCTCATTGAGAAAGGGATACAGAACAACTGAAGAGTCTGATTAAAAATAAGACTATGCTTAGAATGCGAATATTCTTCATTTTAATTTTGAAGTTTCTTATAAGTTCCCAACAAAAGTACCTATATGATTTACTTAAAAAACATCAAAAAATATATATTTATAGTTCAAATAAGTGTAACGTATCTTATGACACCAAAAACTTTGGCCAAATTTGGTAAAATTATAGGTAACTCTTCAGTTTTTCTGTGTCCCATTCTTAATAAGACACTACAAAAACTACTAGTTTAAGTTCCAAAACTACTAATTTTTAAATATCATTAACTTCGTAATATGTTTTAAATTATATTTATTGTGTATTGTGAACAAAGTCGGCAGGTTTTTAAATTAAGGAACATCAATTTAATGTTTGTTCATTTAATATTAATAATAATTGTAATGTGGTACATGAGCGGGCATATTATTTTATATCATGAGGATGAGGAGGTACATAGCAGTGAGTGATTGCCACAAATCTAATTAAATAATAAAAATACATCACCAGTATTTATTATTATTCATTATCAAAACGGTATAATAATAGGAAATTAGGATCTAATAAAAACTGCTTTTAAATACTTGAAATTTTATTCTAAATTATGTGTTACTTAAAAAGTTAGTCATTAAAGTGTAATTATAAGTTGGTTTTTAAGTTTAATTATAAGTTGGTTTTTAAGTTTAATTATAGTTGGTTTTTAAGTTTAATTATAAAGTTAGTTATTTAAGTTTTATTATAGTTATCTAAGTTTTAATACAGTTATTTGTCTTTATTATAAAGTTAGTCAAGCCAATGTTCTTTATTATAATAAAAAAAATAAGCATTCTAAAAAAAATTCTAAGTACACTCCTTATACTTACTTATGAAAACTTAAATTAGATATTTTCTTACGCTCTTTCACTGAAGAGTTTTTACAATTAATTTTGGCACACTTAGTCATGATTTTTATACAAAAACACTTATTAAGATAGAAATAACGTCGAAATATTTAAATTTGAACAAAGTTCTGACAGCTCTTTGACAACTATGACATGACCACTAAGAGAGAGGGAAGGGGTGCCGTTTTTTTTTTTTGGCATGTCATCTCCATAGTATTCAACCTCATTGGTTTAAATCCACATCGGACACATCTGTCCTACTACATTTACGTATACTGAATCACGTGATCAAAGATTTACATCTCAGATGCATCCGATGTGGATATTCAAACGCAGCAATAGTATTATTATTTCTTTTGGCATTTGACTTTATTATGGTTTATTTCGACGATAAATGTAAATTATAAGGTGAATTTAAACTCTCTCTAAATTCTTTATAATAAAGCATTCAAAATAGTATAGCAAGCCCTGATATGAACGTTCTTGCAACTGGCTGTAGGTTGAAGGGGAAAGCATCAAATTCTGCTACAAATAGTGTAATTTTAGAATTGTCTTTCAAAATAATTAATTATAAAGAATTAAAAACTCACCTGCATATTGCTTTCCGCAGCAACTGTTATCCATATTTGAAATGACAAGGCAAGAACTGTAAAGAGAAAAAATAATTAACAAAAAAATTTGCCACAAATAACTGTAGATAGATATTTCTACAGAAGCGGGAAGGCGTTAGGGGAAGGCCAAAATCATAAAAAAATAAAAAAAAAATTGTTTACCGAGAGACGGGATAATAAAGAAGGATTTTGGCCAAATATATTTCCAAATTATCTAGTTTTCATAATTGAAACGTGTGGCATATACGAATATAGTCTAGAACAGAGATTCCCAAAGTGGTCGATATCGATACCTTGGGGTCGAAATCGGTTTCATATATAAATAAAAAAAAACAATAAAATAAACTACTAAACTGTATTACAAATTTACAAACTACACCAAAACAAAATAAAAAAAAAGTAAATCAGCACACGGTCTATTAAATTTGCTTGTAACATACATTTCAGAATGACCAGAATTCTTTATTGCGGCCCTTTATAGACACGCACCTACCGTGTATAGTATCCCAGTGTAGGTATCAGTATCAATCAGTACTACTGGCCTTAGATTAAAGACACAGAAGATGTAACATTGCACATGTTGTCTATTTTAACCCCAAGTAACCCACCAATTGAAAATAATTGTTTACACGACGCCACCCGAATTGCTCACCTCCGTCTGAGTTCAGTCACCATTGACAACTGCTTTTTGATTTATTTGTTGGTGTTTTAGCAATTTAAAGTGTTCTAGTTATTCAGTTTCAAGTTCAAAATGCCACGAAGTATCTTGAAAAATTGTATATACTTATAATACAAATACCAATGTTATTAAAGATAAAAAATATATTTGTTTTCAGAGGTAAATATTTATTAACGGTTTGACATAAAGCGCCATGATCCTTTGGGCTGAATACTTCAGATCCGCATTAAGGGGTTTCAATAAATATTAAGCATCAAATACATATTTCAGAAAACATATTTCATATTATTTACATAAATTTACAAAAGGATAAAATTTTGAACATTTAATTTAAATAAGAAGTAAAAAGGCATTGTTGCTAACGAAATTTTGTTTTTAAAAAGTAGTTTTATAAGAATATTTATTAAAGGTGATTTTTAGCCCTTTTTGGTAGATGGTAGATGAATAAGAAGTAAAGAAGCACAGCTGCTAACTAAATTTTATATTCATAAGGTATTTTTATGAGAATATTAGATGAAATACGGGATGACCTACTTAAAATTTCAAGGTTCATCTTATTTGCGGTCAAATCGAAAGTGACATTTGAAGCTTAAGTCTTAAAACAAAGTAAAACGCACAATATGATCCAGTATAAGCAAAAAATACTAAAGTTACTGGAGTTAGTCACATTGTTAATAAAATGTTACATTATAAACCCCTAAACAACTTGAATAACATTTTCGTTCATTATTATTATTTTTTATTATACAATCGAATGCGGTTTCAAAGATAACGGGATCAAAAAATACAAATCTCTAAAGTTTGGAGCTAAATGCTCGGATAAAAGCAAGCGACCGATAGGGGTTACAAAAATAATCGATTTATCGATTATTCTGATATCTTTTATGAAACTCGATTTATCAGTTATTTTTTATAAATTATTTTCGTTTTTTTAAGATAATGTAATAATCGATTTTAAAGGAAATACAAAAAGAAAGTAGATTTATTGATTGAAAATTATTATAAATCGATTTTTTAGGTAAAATCGATTTATCGTTTAATCGGTTTTTTTAATTAATCGATTATGTTCGATTTTTTAAAGGTATTATATGAAAATAATCGATTGATCGAATATAATCGGTTTAATAATCGATTATTTTCGATTTATCGAATATTTTAGATTTTTCAAAGATAATAGAATAATCAATTTTAAAGGAAATATGAAAAGGATTTTTTTGCAAAATAGATTTATCGTAGAATCGACTTCTTAATTAATTGGTTATTTTCAATTAATCGATTATTTTGGAATAATTGATTATTTTCGGTATTTCAAAGATAATCGAATTTTCGATTTTAAAGAAAATACAATAAAAATAAATTATTGATAATAATCGATTGATCGAAAATAATCTATTATTTAAAATAATTGATAATTCGTTTTTTTTTTGAAAATCGATTTATCAGTCATCAGTTATCGACTTTTTAATTAATCGATTATTTTTGATTAATTAATCGATTATTTTTCGATATTTCAAAGATTATCGAATAATATGTTTCAATGGAAGAAAAAATGGATTATTTGAAAATAATCGATTATTTAAAATAAACGATAATTCTTTTATTATTTTTTGTAAACACTGATTTATCGGTTAATTGGCTTTTTAATTAATCGATTATTTTTGATTTTTTAAAGATAATCAAGTAATCGATTTTAAAGGAAATACGACATAAAAATAGATTGTTTGAAAATAATGATAATGATAAATAATTTATTTCGATAATCACCCACCCCTAATGACCAAATGACTTTTAATAGGTTTAAATTTTAAAATGTTATCTGGTTTCAGACATATGCATTTCTAGAGTTTTATGTGACTCATCCTCTATATTAATTAATATTCCTAAAGAAAGAGGCTGAGGTTACAATATAAAACAATATAAAAGCATTTTCTCATTTTGACTAATTTTTAATATTATATAATAGCCGTAGAAAAAATATAATGTTCAACTCACAAAGTTTGATTTACAGTATTCGCCTGCGCACATACTTTTTTTTATAATACTCGTAGACAATGAGTACCATTTCTTGCTCTATTAACTAAAGAAATATTCTATAAAAGATCTTCTCTTTACATAAAATATCGTGGCATCTGTTTGATATTAAAAAATCACGTTAATTTTATTTCATAATACAACATTCCATTAAACATATCGTCGATCTAAAGCACACATATTGTAACTCCAAATTTAATGTTATAACGATCTTGGTACCAATTAAATCGCATTTTAGTCTTCTTTATTGGACACAAACATTGTAGCTCCAACATGGCTTCAACACCCACCAAACTACAATAAATTCAAATTAAAACTGAGAATTAAGGCATTTAAATACATTTTCTAGAAGTTTAAATTTGCGATTGTCCAAAAATGCGTTTTTGGATATACAATAAGTGTTGTTTAGACCGACGATATATTTTAAATAAATCTAATAGTTCATCATGCTGCTAATAAACAAAGTCCGGTCCCTGTCACAGAGTTCGGGTCTCTGCCCAGTTCCCCCACTCCTTTAACCTTTCTTTAGAAATTGGCATTATTTGCGCAGGTTAAACAGCGGTGTATGTTATATCTCTGGTCTCTTTTATCTAAGGTACTGGCACTCTGAGGCGGCACGTTTGATATTTAAAAGTAGAAATTTTAGTTGACAGTTGACTCTTGACGTTTTCAGGATATGAAAAGTTTTCTCTACACGGATTTGGTTATACCTGGTTAGTTGATTTTGGTTCTGCTGCTATTCAAATTCGTGTGTATGAGCGAGATGTGAGATACCTTTATAGAGACAACGGTTGAACACATAAGGTTAGAGTAACAAAATAGAGGTTTTGCTTTATTTCCTAAAACTTTTCTAGTATATTGTAGATTTTTATGCTATAAGTTATTTAGGTACTGCAAATTCTATAGGAAAGTATGTAGTTTTTAATATAAAAATTTATAATGGATACATATTTAGTGCAGTTTTTTTTTACAAATATGTACTCAGTGACTTATTTTTGTGAATAAGTTTAAGTATGGCAGACGAACATCGTTACTTTTTATTATGAATTAATTTGAATTTATTTAAAAATGGGAACTATGTATATGGTTTTCGTAGTTTTTACACTTGTAATAAAAATATCAAAGTTATGTAAATTGGCCATTTACTAAACACAGCATATCACAATACATATCACTATTTGACATTCTTATTAAATTCACTAATTTAAAATTGACTTTAAACTAGGTGACTACACACAGAATTGTTTGAAAGCAGCCATAAGGTATAATTTATTTATTGGGTACTATAAAAAAATTAATAGTAGTTACATACACATAGAGTTAAGTAACAAGAAATTTAAAAACAGAAAAAAACAAACCTTTATATCTAGTGAACTTAATTTAGTACAGTCCTCAACTTTCTTAGGCTAACATTAAAGATATATGTTTGGACCTCGCTAATAAACTCAAAGGTAACACGAAACCTGATTTGCGGCGGAGAGAAGTGTTTTTTAGGCACTTCTCCCGCAGCACACCCGCCTACCTTTCGGCATTGGGTTTGTCTTTCCTCCCAATCTCCAAGCGAAGCCACTGTCAAGGGAACCCATCCCATCTCCTCACTCCAAAAATGAGCGAAGAAAGAAGACCGTTTTGCCCGACTTTATTGATGATACCTTAATTTTTACAATTTTGCTATTTTACAGTTTTTTTTTGGTTTTACAATAATTTTTCTTAATATTAATTATACATTTATACCTTTTGGTATGTCGTTGGGGGTAACAATGGTGTGGGTTGAGGTCGCGCACTTTTTATCGCGCACTTCCGCGCACTTTTCCCGTGTTTTTATAGGGATTTGGAGCCAGTATCGTCTACTGAGCTGGTTCATCCTCGTGTATTATGTTTTCTCCCCATTCATTAATCCAGGTAACTGTGTTTTTGTCCGTCGTGTCGATGTCCATCGGTGGGTATGTTTTGTTAATTGTTCTTAGTCTATCCGTCAGTAGTTGTCGTGCGTTCAGTATTTGTGGGTCATTGCATGTGTTAATTGCGTGTGTAATGTCTTCGAATGCTCCGCAGTATTCACAGTTTGTGTCTATGTTATCCCTGATGTTAAAGCGGTCATAGTACGCCTTTAGATTTCCGTGGCCAGTGAGAGCTTGCGTAGTTTTACATGTAAAACCTGCTAGTTTTGTCGATACTTTTGTTATTATGTCATGAGTAAGTCGTCTTGTTTGTCCATTGTCCCAAATTTGTTGCCAGTGTATTAATTTAGTTTTTCTTATTTTGTCCTTAAGGATTTTTTTGTTTGTGTAGCTTATGGCTTGATGTTGTATTGTATTGTCTCGT